CTTTGCTGTAGTAAGTAGGGCACAAGTAGTTACTCTCTTATTTCCGTGCCTTGTGCTATTTGGAAGCTTACTGCAGGTACCAGTTCTCTGCTAATCGTTGCTGTTTGCCCTGAAATGAGGAATGTAAATTGATGCCCTGGCTAAATTCATGTATAACTGATGTAGCCCTTTGTAATGATCACTTTCAGTATTTCAATATTTATAAATCTTAACATGTGTAAATATATTTATAAGACGGAGCAATGGCTCAGTGGGTAGCATTGTTGACTTAGACCTCCAGAAATGGGGGTTGGAAGTCTAACTAAAATGTATGTAGTTGGGTCCCCTAATTCTGATCCCGGAGGGCCAGATAAATCTGCTTCCCTGCTGTCGTCTAAAAATATGTGTAATGATTACACAGAGTGCATCCAAGCATCGAGAAGTCTGTTTTAATAGTCATGGTCGAAAAAGTCAGAACCGGGTTATCACATGATCATAAGTGGAAACAGACAAAATCCAGCAGACAAAATGCAAGTACAGGCAAAACGGCATTAATGGGAAAGCAATCAGCAAGGCAGCCAATTCCAGAAAAATGCACAAGTAGAGAGCAGAAAAACACTTAGACAATTAAGAGATATGTGTTGCAGCTGGTCAGAACTCTGGGGTTGATGATTGCTGTAGGTGGGGCAGTTCTGGTGCGGTTGGGTGCGGTTGTGGTTGGCTTAACGATGGCATGACAACATGCCTTTAGGTGAATTGGTGTCTCTTTGTCACGTATCCATCCATTTTCAGTAACCACTTGTCCTGTTCAGGGTTGTGAGGGGGGGGTCCAGAGCCTATCCTGCAGGCTAAGGGCAGAAGGCAGGGAATAACCCAGGATGGGGTGCCAACCCATCGCAGGGCACACTGAAACACCAGTCACTCACACACCAGTCACTCACACACCAGTCACTCACACACCAGTCACTCACACATGCACGCCTACGGACGATTTGGTAACTCCAATTAGCCTCGGCACGTTTTTGCACGAGGAAACCCCACCATGACACAGGAAGAACATACGGTGAGGCTCAAAGGCATCTCCAGATCAGCCAGGGTGTGAGTGTCTGTTTTTATGCCCGGGGGGTGCACTGGTGCCCTGGGCTGCCTGCCATAGGCTCAAGCCCCCTACAACACTGTTGTCAATAGGCATTTGGAAGATGGATAATGGAAAATACCAATACAACTGGTAAACAGAAATAATAACAAAGTAACTACATTAAATATTTAAAAACAGGAAGAGCGATATTATAATTCTCTGCAGAAAGGCAGCTAATGTGTGACCACGTCATTATCGGCACAGAACACTCGGAAAAGGCCAAACAAGCAATTAAGAAGTTGAGGAGATAATGTCCTTCTCCTTCCATTAGTGTACTTAATGTTCGCCTGCCTCCATTAAGTTCATTGACTGTCTAACTAGTACAGCCCTGTAACATTCACAAATGGAACCAAAGTGATTCATGATTCACTATTTAGTTTTTAATGAAAACTTTCTGGGCCGTGTTCAAAAAAGTTACCGCATTAATGTTTGTTTGGAAATCAGCCTCGATACTGTTAACGTAACACTATACAGAAGCGATGTTAGTGATCCTTACTGGAAGAATAGTCAGCATCACTGTCCCACTTCATAATTATTTTGTCATTTTTAAAAACTCATTCATAGATCTGCATCAACTCCTAGCACGAGTTCTTTAACAGTGCAACTTCATACAACTTGAATCAATATTAAAAAAAATATTTCTAGTATTACTATTACTATTTAGTATCATTTACTATTATGTTTCCTGATTGCTAAATTTCTTTACTGTACTGGAATCTTTTACCCACACAATCTCTGTGTTGCAAGTCTAGGAGATGATGATTACATTATCTTTATTATTATTAGCTTTCAACTAATGTTGAAACCCTGTTTCATTTCTGTCTTCATTGGATAATGGTTTGAAGAACCTGCTGGATTGGAGGTGGGTGCAATTACAATATTGTCATTTTTTAAACTGACACAGATCAAACTAGTAAGTAAAGGAGAACATAGCCATGATGTTGTTCTGTCACTGAATACTTTATTCATTTCCAATAACACGTTCGGTGGAAGGGATCAGATGGCACTATTGGATTAGATACATCTCTGTTTATTTACACCTTGTTACATCTGTTCGGCATTTAAAAAAAAAAAAAAACAGACATAACCTTTTGCAATGAAGGCATGTTACACTACCTTAAGCATTTGGCACACGTTGTGGCCCTTGATAGACATTATCTATGAGACGAGGGAAGAGGCCATTCCTCCCCCCTCCCCCCCCCCCCCCACACACACACCACAGCATAAAGTTCAAATTACAGTGTTATGAGGGGCTGGCCTCGAGGATGCTGGTGATCTAAATGTCAATAAATTAGGATTACATATATCAGCTAATATTTTAATAGATTATAATGTATTTCCTTGTGGATTACATTATTGTGGTACCAAAATCTATTATAGAACAAGAAGCACAAAGCCAAACTGGCAGGAACAGAGGACACATGAAACTCTCAAAATAAGTTGCATATCTGGGGCTGCAAGTTTGTTCTTTTTTGTATTGGGGTGGACCTTGAGCAAATACACAACTTGTAATAATAAGTGTGAGGATCAGTGTTTGCCGAGCCGTGAATGTGGCTCAGTCTTGTTGCTCCTGTCTCCTGTTTCCATCCAGTCACTAGTCCAGCCAGACCATCAGGCTGAAAACCTGTCATTATGTGTGAGATTTTCTAGTTTGGGGCAGTTTGCTTCTGAGTCTTTTCAATTCTAGGATAATAAGTCTGTTTTGATAGCTAGTATAAGCAGAAGGACAGGGTCCCTGTGAATCACACTTTGTTGTAAAGGTCAAGGTTAAAATAGTTATGGAACATTTTCGTATTTTCCTGATATATTTTGAAAAAAAGGGGCCACAAAAATGTAACTCCCAATGTGTATTTACTTCATTCTTAATGAAAACATTTTTAAAACTATCTGAATCATATCCGGGCAGCAGCAGAGAGTTTACCTGTCTTGCGTGAGAGTGGTCTGGTGATCAGTGTCACGCTGGGACGTTGAAAAAGTGCAGGAAGCAAAAAGTCGGGGCAGAAACGGGGTTTAATAGGAACAGTGACAAAAGGAGCATGCAAACACGGAATAACATTACAATGACCGGACTGGGGAAACAAATGGAAACGCGGACTAAATACAATGGACTAATGTGCAACGATCGGGAACAGCTGGTAAACACGGGGAATCCACATGGGGTTAATGAGGGGGCGTGGCACACGAGAGAAGCAGACGATCGGGGCATGACAATCAGGCACAAGGTATAAAATGTACGGGAGATAAATGAACAGACATGACCTGTGTTTGGTAAACACCAGACTCTGCACTTTCAAACCAAGCCCGGACCGTAGAGAGTGCACCACTGCATGAAAGATCCAGCCAACTGTTGCATTTGGTTTAGAGATCCATGCATGTTGGCACATTTTTGGCTAAGTGAAACAACATCTTCAAAATTGCATAACACGGAATGGCAAAAACAAAACTATTACTCGGTTACTTTCAGGGAGCTACGTTCCACATGTAAATATATTTGACCAGTTTGTGATTTACTGTTGAGATCAGAATTCTAATATCTCAGGAATCATCTGAGTAGAAGTCCATGTCAAATGTCACATTGCACGAAAATCTCAAGCACCACCAGGAAAGATCAAGGAAGGTAAACATTCAGAGCTCTGTTCAGCCAATGAATAAATACTGGGGCCATGCACTGGGAGTACTGCAGAAGATTGGAGGATGAAAGAATTTAGGAACGATACGGCCACTAGTTTTGAAATAGCTACATTAAAATGTGCCAGGCCCATCCATCTTTCAATGACTTATCCTTATCAGTTTTGGGGGAGGGGTGCTATTGCAAACAGCACAGAGCACAAGGTTGGAGTACACCCTGCCTGGGATGTCAGTCCATTGCAGGGCACATCTACACAACGGGAAATTGAGAGTCACTAGTCAGCTTAACCTGCGATGGGTTGGCGCCCCATCCTGGGTTGTTCCCTGCCTTGCGCCCGTAGTCTCCAGGATGGGCTCCGGACCCCCCGGGAGCCTGAACAGGACAAGTGATTTCAGAAGATGGATGGATGGATAGTTAGCTTAACTGTATGTCGTTGGACTACATTTACATCTTATTTATTTAGCAGATGCTTTTCTCCAAAGCGACACATATTTCTGAGAGCAGGGCCAGACAGTCCCTGGAGCTATCGGGGGTTAAGGGTCACACTCACGGTGCCCAACAGTGACATCACTTTGCCGACCCTGGGATTTGATGGGAACCTGTGAGAACACAGGAAGAATATGCAAAATCCACAGACATAAGACAGGATTCGAACCCCTAACCCTGGAGGTGTGAGGCATCAGTGCGACCCAGTGAGCCTCCCCTGTGCCCCTCCCGTTAAAAATTAATTTTCCTGTTCTTATCCTCTGTGGAATTTCTGCTGCCTGTGCACTAGGTTAAAAAGGACACCGTTGAAGCCTAGGAAACCTTATGTCTACCTCATTTATAGACTTTATAAAAGGAGGACTTCAGTCGCAGTATTAAACACTGATTTCCCCACTGAGCTCAGCCAGATATATATGCAATATACAATTCTCTAGCCATCTTTTCGAGAACATTATCACCATATAAAATATAAAGGTCATATTTCATACACACTGGTAAGGAATGGCACACATCAGCCAAAGACTATAGTGCTAGCTCTATATAACAGCATGTCACTTAACACAGCAACTACAAAAGGCACGCCTATATGTTATATACATGTGTGTTGTTGTTGGGGTTTTTTTGTTTTTTTCTTGGTACACTTCCACTACTGATTTCCAGTGACTTGCACTGAAGCTACTTGTAAATCACAAATAATTTATGGGAAAATGCAAATACTTAAATTTCAGAGACCTTGCTCAGAGGCAGTGGCATCCTCAACCCTCCCCCCCCCCCCCCCCCCCCAACCCGTGTTGTCCCCGACAGTCTCATTTCTAGGTCTCCAGCCCAGACTGCAAAGCCAGCGGATCTCTCCAGATCCTGTTCTCCTCCTGTCCTTGTTGGTTATGTGACATACAAGTTAAGCTTGTATACTTTTGTTTCTGGCAAAGCGAGGCCCATATACTGTAGCAGTATTCCAGCCGGAAAAAATATCCACAATGTAGCACAGTCACCTTTAAAATCAGTAAATAATAAAAAATACGATACATCCTCGTAAACTAGACTAAACCAATTTATCTCAAATAATGACCCATTTGGGCCCGAAAAGGCTGGGTTCGCAAAGCACTCCATACAGCTGGAATATGATGCCAAATATCCGGATGTCACATGATGTCAATATTGTTTGGAAACCAGCAATCTTTTAAAAGCTATTTTAACTAATTGGAATAAATGGGGTGCATTGAAATACAAACAGTAGTCAAGATTTACGTGTTATGCACTTACTTTGGTTTCTTCTGCTACTGTAACTCATCATTGCAGGCTTAGACACCTAGGACTGGTCACAGAATTATCGTCTTGCTTTTAACAACACGAGTTTGGTGCTTTTACATGGTTTCATAAAATCTAGAAACCCTGTTCCTGATTAAGCTTTTCCTTTGCCATTCAGTAAATGTAACCACAGTGGGCTGGTTTGTCATTGTAAATGATCCTTCTGGGCCATTTTAAAGATGGCCCACTATTTCTGGGAACTTCCTAGGAACAATTTCTCTCCCGGGAGTCACCAGCGGCTCTGCGAAAATGGAAACAGCCGAGGACCTTCTTGGGTCAAAATAACAACAACGTGTGCATGGAACTTGCAGGCATGTTTTCCTGCAGGCACATTTCCCAATGCTGTGATAAAGTGCTGTGCGACCCAAACTTAAGCATCACGATTCTCTCCGGGGTACATTTTTGGGGGGGGGGGGTTGGCAGGGCTACAACAGCCAGACTGTGGCAGCAGCCAGGAGAAGGGATGGACCAAGGGTGGAGGCTAGGGAGGCCGGCAGGGATCCGCCATTGAAAACTAGCCGGTAGGACACCACCTCTTCCTTGTGGCCGTTCTCCAGCGACATGCAGCGGAACACGCCCTCCTTGAGAGGCAGGTCTGGGGTAGGTGCCAGCACGCAGGAGCCGTTCAGAATGGAGCAGGGATAGCGCTTGATGCAGTTGTCCTTCTCCCAGCGGTAGGTGGCGTGGTATGAGCGCACCGGGCAAGGTAGGAGGACAGGCCCTTCTGGGTCCACCACCACATCCTTGGGAGTAGTGCTACGGCTCTTTAGAGCTGCAGGCAGAACAAGGCGGGGGGTTCATGTATCTTTTTGCACTGAATTACAGCTGAATCGTAAGTTGTTTGTGATACTATTTTGGAATGTGAGCGATTCATGAGGTTAAGAAGAAGAAAAAACCTCCAGCACAACAAATGTGCAATATGAATAATGTTGATTCTTAAATGTTTCTTAAACCAACATACAACTCCTTATTCCTTATAGAATAATGTAATAAAAATGACAGAAACGTGCATTAATAAATTTAACCTGGAAAGAAACGGGAAAGACAAGCAGTTAACTAGTGTTGGACTTACCGGTGGATCCTCCGCACAAAGAGGAGTTGGACGAGTCAAGACTTTGGATGATTGTACTATAAATAAAAAAGCAGTTTAAGAAACAATGACAGTTACAGTTGCAGGAGATTCTGGAAAGGTTCATCCAAATGTGAATATTATTACCAGAGGTGGAGATTTCAGGTCCAGAGAGTACAAATCCAGACTAAGATTTTGTTTCAACCAACCAGTTGAGTATAAGGAGTCACAGTCACAGAGTACTCAACTTGTTGGTTGAAACAAAATCTTGATCTGAATTTGTACTCTCTGGACCTGAAACCCTAACCCTAACCCTAACCCTAACCCTAACCCTCTGATTATTACTGAAAGGTCCACAAGATGTTTACTGAGAGGTTCACAAGATGTTTACTGAGAGGTCCACAAGATGTTTGTTTAACCTCTTTGATGACCTACAGGGTATTCATTGTCCCACGGTTACTTGAATCCTACCCAGAGCTGATGTTATATCCTTCAGGTATGGCAGTACACTTCTTCTTGCCGATCTCCCATCCACAATAGGGATCGCGGGAGAGAACGCATTCCCTGCAAGTGTCTCCATAGCGACCACAGTCGGCCAATGGGAGGCGATGGGCCTCCATGGCCGTGCTCACGTAGAGCTGGCCCTAATGACACAGCGTAAATAAGAACGAAACAGTTGTAGCAGCAGGCAAGTGCAGCAATTAAATTTCACAGGGAAGCGGGCGAAACAGAGTTATGCATGAAAGAGTGGATCTTAAGATAAAAACACCAGAAGGCTTATCATGCGGAATAGAGATTAAGCGGCTCTTAAGAGTGCGGGTGATACAAATAGAAACTGAAGATCTGGTTTGTCGTCAGCCTGGTGTTTAGAAGAGAATCTTGCGTAATGGGTTCCTACCCTCTGGGAGTCGATGGCCATGGCAGTGACTGGGCTCTCGTTCTGGAAGAGGGAGTACTGGGAGATGATGAAGGCTTCATCGATTGTATGCAGGACCTTGAGGACTTCACCCCTCTCTGAGAAGCGATACGGTTTAGTCAAACACGTCGGAAGAAAAAGAACCACATGTACACCAGTACAGTCCACTGGATCAGAACTCTGACCACGTAAAAATAATCTTCAGAATTATAACAAAATAAGAACAATTGAAATGCACTGAAGGTTTTATTTATTATGTATTATCCAGTACAGTCCTCTAGCCCAATGTACTGAATATGATCCCAGTCAATTCTTAGCAGTTACAATTGGAACCTGTAATTCAATTGCATTTATCTGACACTTTTATCCAAAGTGACTTACAGCACAGGGAATGATTGGCAGGCAGATAGCCCATAACTGGCCCAGACAATTGAAATGTTTACAAATGTTATTGTATTTGTTTACTATAATCAATTGACACACCAACAAAACCTATTTCAATCTGATATTTATGGCTAAAAAAAACCCCACACTTTTAATATTGAAATTGCTCAAGAGTTCCTTTGACATTTTCTTTCTGGTGTGTTGTGTTAAAATTCTTTCGTCACCATTTATTATTAGCTAAAGCTGCTTATATCCCCGTTTCTTCCTGACATCTGCCTCTTACCTGTTCCCAAGTACAAAACACTGTAGTGCTCATCATTGACTGCCGGCACTGAATCAGCAACTGTCTGGGTAAACTTGTCGGTGGTAGGAAGGTCCAAAGGCGCTTCCCCTACTGGCTTCATCACATTCTCAATCTCTGGATGGTCTCGTATTATGCTCAGGGTCTTGGTGTTCAAAGCCAGCGTCACATTCTTTGGAATACACTACAAAGGCAAAGAAAAATAACTCATCAAAAGAATGTCAAAGAGCTTTAGTCAAAAAAAAAAACTTAACAGGTTTTTCGTTTTATTTTTTAATACCGTTTTATTTTTTCATCCAGGCAAATATTCACAATAAACACAGTTTGTGTCTTCATATATTCTGGAAAGTTTCCTCTTATTACACAATATTTAAAGCATTTTCAGTGCTGTGGGGTGATTTACCGTTCCAGGCCGCTGTCCCGCCAAGGACAGGCTATAGCCCTTCAGTTTAGATGTGGTGAAGGCTAGGTTAATGTCTTCTATAGAGTATGCACACACCACCGTAGTGTCCCTAGGTAACGGGAAAACATCATTATGTCTAATAGCAGTTTATGTTGTTTTTCTGAAGGCCTTAGATTGCACAACATATTAGCAGAGCTGATTAACAAAACATAACTTGCTTCCTAAATGTTGACCAGAGCACCTGCCATCTGTCTGCAATTACAGGCCCAAAGTCCAATCTCAGTCCTACACCCTGACCCCTCAAGAGAGAACCGTATGCTCACCACGCATTGGAGAAGAGCCCGTACATCACGCCAGATCTGTTTTCACGGGCAGTTAGCACAAAGGCCTGTCTGATGTTGTTATACTGCTGGGAGGTATTACGGAGGCCGCACATCACGCGAGCTTTCATGAAGGTGGTCCAGGAGTCGGGTAACACTGTTTTAATGCCACCCTCGTCCACCTGCGGGAAAATGGCAGCACGCTGTGACCGCTGAGTAATTCCACTTTGTCGCTAAGCCCCTCCTAAATTCATCTAATTGAACTATTCATTAATGCATGTGCTAAGGGTATAACACTTCCCTTTTAATAATAAAAAAGACACCAAAGGTTAGAAAGGGATTTCAACATAATGAGTGATCATTTTTCCTGAGGTGACAAAGGCCTGTTGTTGTTTAACGCAAACTAATGTTCTGTAACGGAAAGCGTGCTTGGGAGGCGAAGAGACACGTGGGATCAGAAGGAGACTGCAACCCTGGTTTTCTTGATTAATAACATCGGTTCCAGAAGCATACCATGCACACGCGTCCAATGCGGGCCTTGTAAGGTTCCTCGTCCACTTCAGCCGTTCTGTTTAGCTCGGTGAAGAAGAAGTAAATTTCTTCTTTGTATTTCTGAGGCGCTGGGATTACAGCCGCCCCAGCAAAAGTGGGATCTGTAAGACAGGGGGCCACAAAGCTGACATCACGGGATACAGCAAAGACGTAGCTGGGAAGCTCAGGCCAGCCAAGACTGGAAACTAGTATTTAATCATCGGTGTACTGTAGGCGTCAGGGAAACTTAGTTCATCTTCACTGTAACTGTTCTCCAAGAAGACACAAACAATCTAGGCTAATAATATATTGTTGTATTATGCTTTGAAGAACAGTTCTGGGAATCTCATTTTTCCACCCCCGCACGGAGATTCGCCCTGTCATGCCCTGACCCACACTTGGTCTTCCTTTCCTTTTAATTACACCGTGTCACCTTCCACTCGCAGGCCCCATCCCGTCTCCACCCTGCACGGTCCTCCATCCACGCTACTCTCAGCGATCCCCACACTCCAACTCACTCAGCAGCCATTTGCCCTCGGACTTCAGCAGCTTGCGGGAGCCGAAGGTCCGCTGGATGGAGCCTCTGTGCCGGCCGAACGCCGATAGCGCGGAGTAGAGGTTCCCATCTGCGTGGGACGGACATGGGAAGGGGAAACACCCTGAGTCGCCCAGGTTCACTGCACACGCTCAGCATCTTCCAGGATGCTGCCCGCTTTTCCTTTAAGTCTTCTAACTAATACAAAGTACAGCCAAGGACAACTGCGGGCAAAACATATTAGCATCACTGTGGCAGATGAGATGTTGCATCCCATTAGTCTTCGAGTTTTTAGCACCCTATTCATGAGGCTGGTGAACAGATAGCTGGCAGCTTTTTTCAGCTATGACCTACCTTAATACACACACACACACACATATATATATATATATATATATATATACACACACACACACACACACACATTGCATATATCACAATGTAGACATACAAATCTGTACAATCAAAAAACTAAAAATGGCAAAAGACAAAAAAAATGTGTAGAAAGGTTAAGATTTTTACCTGTTTTGGAGGAACTGAGAAAAAAAAATGTGCATATTTGGGTATGTATGTTGTCAGCATTCTGCTTGTGACCTTAAAGTATCTGCACTTAGAAAATGCCGTCAGAGCCTCTGAGTCTCTAAGCCTAGGATGTGGGTAATTTGGCACTTTGGGACCATCTAAGAAGGTCAAACTCCAAAATATAAGGCTGCGGGTTCAGCAGGACCAGAGCACCAGCTGAGATCTAGAAATTTCCTGCTGCTTCTGTGGACTGACTAAGGGGTTTTTTTTGCACCTGAGATGTAGGTGTTTTGGTGTAAGTCACAAAGTCACAGATTCCGGATCTGGAGGACAAAGGCACCAGCTGGGCCCATCCTAGAAACCCACCTGTTGACAGACTAACAGACCTCTGGGAGGGACTGCCTGGGGAGATGTCAGACGGGGTTACCAACAATCCGCCGGCTGCAATGTCGGTGAGTACAGTATTGTTCACCTTCAGAGAAAATTACATTATTAATAAATCAGTGAGTACGAAAGCATAGGGAACCTGCCGACCAAAACATAGCCAGTGCTTAATTACAGATCCAAGAAAAAAGTAAAAAATACTATAAAAAATATATACTAATATATACCATATACAATTATGTATGTGCTTGATATGACCCAGTAAATGGTAATATGGGATGGCTTACCAACAACCAACATTTTGGTATTCCTGCATTGGTTCCACACGCCACAAGACTGTCGTTGACCTTCTGAATAACTGTTATGAAATTGTCGCAGTTCTGCAGGACAAAACAAAAGGATGTGATTGCTTAGAAATCATCACTTAATCTGGCAGCCAACTAGAGTCAAGCCTCTTGCTAACTAAAAAAGAAATAGTGATTCCTTTTTTTACTGGGCAAGTATACCCCTACAAACAATTTACCATTTCGTTTGAGTATTTCAGTTAACTTTTCCATGGGTAGAGTAGTGGTCTCCTAGGTGACACGTGCTCTGGAACTCTGAACATACTACAAACGTACAAAGAAGCAGTATATTCCATCCTGCCGTGAGAAAAAGGCAAAAAAATATCTATCTACCCACCTCTATTGAATCATTTTTGCTAAGACAAGCCTGCTTCGCATTCTCATCTGCCAAGACTTTAATCTGGAAAAGATTTCACAGCAAATAAATTTTTACAGCACTATGACACTCTTCCCCTCATATCTTTTTCTAGGAGTTGGTTCTTTCCTAAAGTAATATTTCTCAAAATCCTATAGTGGAAATATGGTTATGATGTTTTAGGAAACCTAACAACAAGATATACTCAGTTATACAGGAAGGAACGAAAATTAAATGTTGGTACAGTAAGGTGGCAACCAAACTTCAAAGATGTTTGTTTTGGTCTCTAGCTTAACAACAAACGACTAAACATTAGAGAGATGGAAAGTGAACTCAAGCTGTTATTGGTGCATGACCTGTGCACTCAGAGGACTATGGTTGCGTTCAGATACAAAGTATCATCGACAAGTTTGTCATCACCTACTTGAGTATCCTTGACCCCTTTGTTAGTAAATGTCAGCAGGTAGATTACTGCCTGGCCACCCACATACAGGTCATCACTTCCATTTTGGTGGTACACTGTCATGTAGCTCTCCGGTTTCGGGAAGAGAAATCTGGAAGGTTCTAGAAGCCCATCACCAAGAGAATTAACATATTACAGCAAAATGTTACATGGTTTATATATATATATATATATATATATATATATATATATATATATATATAATCGAATAGTCACACAAACCTGTTCAAGTGTAGGCTTTTTAATTAAATTACACAATTCCCAACAAATGTACAAAAAGCAATAATAATAATAAAAATAATAGTTCATTCTCCTATAAGCAATCGTTGCAATCTCATGGTGCTTCAAAATATCCCGAAGCATTCTTGTCTGACTCACAGAATGCCCTCCTTCCATGAAATCAAATGAATTTGGTTGCCATGGCAAATAAGCTGCCCCAGTAGACAGGCCAGGAGTTCGTCCAGATAAGACCATCTTACATCTGAAATTACAGCCTGGACCTTCACCGCTATGTTCTGCAGCTGGCTTCTATAAATTTCCAGTGAATGCAGACTTACAACATTTCGCTGTCCATGGTACTCAATATTGTGAAGAAAAATATATGGTGACAACAAAAGACAAAAAATTTCAATGCAGCAATTATCCCTGTTACTCATACTCTCATCCTTCTTTTACTCCATGACAACTGTTACACTACTACTCCCCCTTGATGGTACGAAAGTGTATTTAAACCGATCGAGGTGCTTAAGTTTGAAACAGATTCGGCAAGCTTTTTCCATATATATTTTTTTTTTCAACATATTTAATAATTAATTGAATGGTATATTTACTTCATTCTATGTGGCGGTATGTGTGTATGCACACGTTTCTGATGCTTTCACTTGCTACGATTACATCCCGACCCTGCCTCAGCTACCGCAGTCCCATCTAGTCTGCTCATTCACCTGCATTGCAGTTCTGCAGCGGAAGCCGCGCCGTCGTTCACTACGCAGACTACATAAAATTGCATTCAAGCTGCTTGATATTCACTCAAATATCTGACAATCGGTGCAAAATACATTCAATTTATTGGAAAGAAAAGCGCATATCCATTAATTTTCTCTTTTTTTAACGAAACATCTGCAATTTGGTGCGTGCTATTATATGCAAATTTAAGACTATTCAACGATGTAAATTACCATATTGTGTTAGTTTCCATGACTAATAATCAATAACTGTCAACGCAAGCAGTCCGAATATTGCAGACATTGTTAAAGTATCTATAAATTATACAAAATGAGCCTGATTATAATGCATTAGTTAAATATGTATTGTGCAGAATAGTGTTGCAGTTCTGATAAACACGTGGTATGATCTGGTCGCAGAACTATTGAATAAATCAAAAACGTCTGACTGTTACATATGCTGCCTGTTACATTCGCCATATCTCTGTTCTGTCTTTTCTGCGTTTCTTGTGTTCCAGTTTTGTCGTCACACCAGTAATAAAATGTGCAACCCAGACGTCATACATTTTTATCGCGCTTCAAAATCTGACATGTCATATATCTCACGTCGCAAATGGAAAAATAAACTGTCCTCAACATCAGTGAGATCTTGAAATCATGCCTGAAATATGACTAGGCGGTTATTACCGGTGCTTTAATGCAATGTAGGCTACCACAAACCAGCAACGAACTATATATACGACAATGCCATATATAATACTGCCTTATATTGATCGCGGCAGAGTCGTAATTATTCATTTGATGACATCCAACGTAAACATACGCTAAATATAATTATAAATGTACACAGAAGCATAAGAAATAAAATAAATCCGTGGGAGGACAAACCTACCGTTGACAGTAAATTTTAGCCTTGGTGACTTCTCGGCAAAACCCAGGTAAAAAAGTGAGACTAAAATGAGGTAATTCATAATTACTCGCTGCCCGTTGCCTAAGGAGGTAAAACAGTGCCCCTTTCAGATAAAACACTTTATTCCGAGATCCTTGTTGCTCAGAGGAAGTGACGCAGGCGCAGTTCGGTCATCTATTGCCCACAGCCTCGGCTGCTTATCACCCTTTTCTGCCTTTCTCTCCAGATCACGTCGAAAAACTGGGGGTCTCAGGCTCCTCCTCAAAAGTGTGTGTATCTGGGTACGTGCGCGTCCCTGCCAGATGCCCGTCCTTCTGGACGTGGACAAACGGGTTAAGAGGTTTTTATAGTCTCTATGGCAAATTCCGTTCGCGCTTCCTATTTGTACATTAATGTATAACTTTGCCTTTAAGTGTGTTGTCGCACTGCCTTACACAAACAGGTATTGTACTTGTGGATCGGCTTGTATATGTACTGGATACTTGTACTATATATAGGCCTACAGGGCAAAATTGGAGTGATAAATGAAACCCGTCTGTAACCTTTTTCGGATTTAAACACTAATTGGATGTGGTTTATTGATAAACATTCGCATTACAACCACTAGTACTATAGTAATAGTAATATAGAAACTCAATAGGCTACATAATGCATTATTTAAAAGAATGCGTACAATCCTTTATGTAGTTATTAAGCCTAAATACTGTCGCAAAAGATCTGCATTGGTAATTTGAAGCTTGGAGACGCAATATTCAAGGTTATCCATGTCAGTAAGTCCATACCATGATGCTGCAATGTAGTTCTGCATTGTGTGCACTTTGTTGCAGGATTGACGAGAGATTTACAGTTCAGCAATGAGAAGTTTAATAATAAATTGCTTCTGGGCCCTTAAAAAACTGCATTAAATTTTTGGACTTTCTGGCACCACAAGAAGATCGGGGTCGAAAAGTAGGTAGCCCATCTTTAGCCTATTTAATTTACGGTGATTTAATGACATCATGATTAACACTTCGACAATAGTCATTAAATGAGTAGTTTAAACAGGCTTACACGTCTACGTATTTAGAAGCTATGAATTTTTCGTTATGAATGAATAAGCACCAAGCCTGAGCCCTCGACCCTTACTGTAGACATTTTTCGCATTTAAGAGACACCATGCTGGACAGACCTATATAAGACTGTGAGGGGGCACAGGAATTATCTGAAGGGGTTTAATTCCGGTTGTACACGTGATTAGAATTTTCTAGGTTATACTGGGTCATTGTAAAAATGGAAAACGACTCACTGTTTAACCCACTTAATATTCCGCCGTGAAATCACTCTTGGTAGAAAACCGGCAGTGATCATGGTTGAGAGGAAGAGCAGCCATTGGTGACAGGGCCGCAGCCAGTCGTGGGGTTACCCAGCGCCGTACCTCGGTACTTTTTAGGAGCTAAAAATAAAATTTGAAGCTAAATATTCACCTGAACAAAAATTAAAACTCTAACGTTTCACATAACTAATTAATTTAAAAAATACACATCTTATGAAGGAGATGGTATCAATAATGTGATTGACGAGATCCAGCCCCAACCCTCACTATTTTTCAAACCCTAATCTGGCTACAGCCCTGATTGGTAATTTCACATTTAAAAGAATAATTATTTGACAACCGCATATATCAGTACGTTGTTTATTAATGTCACAGTAAGCTACACAGAGATCACAATAAAGTAGCCTAATACAGTGCGGTGCAGACGTAAGAAACGTTGATTGGAGTCTTTTGCATAGATTTTGTTCCGTCATTTAGCAGGACTGCAGCCTACCGTCAAAACATTTCAAAATTATGAAAACATTCGCGAAACACGTCAAACTGCCGACATAATTCAAGTACTGAGGTGACGGAGGGAATGGAACAGCATTCCGTAATACGCCACTGGTGCCGTACAGCATTATTAGTGTACAAGCACAAGAGTGCAATGGCGCGCTATTTCCCCAGACAGCCATTCATACACACACATTGAAAATTTAATTAAAATATACATACAGCTTAAAACCGAATAATAATTCGAATGCAAAAATATTTCTCCAGAGAGATAGTAAGCAGACGAGTTCCTTGTTCATCAGAACACAGAGATTGCAGGAAGACATAAATATTCATAATATAATATCATCCATCCATCAACTGCTTGTCCAGTACAGGGTCACTCTGAACTTGAATCCTATTGCAGGAAGCACGGGCAGCAAGGTAGGGGAGACCCTGGAAAGGATTGTAGTCCATTGCAGGGCACACATAACATAAATTTATCCTTAAGAATATTTTAAGCATCTGCTTATGAAAGACATGGTAGATAAATGTTATTTATAATTCTGAAAACAGTCATTGACATTTGACAGTTTGGTTTGATAGCATTTAAAATTTTGGTAACACTTTCCTTGAGGGGGTACAAATACTGTAGTAGTACACTCTTACTTAATGTATTAATTAACCAGAAGTTAATTTAGTTACATACCGATCCCATGTTCATTTATCATTAATTCATAGTTTCTTGCATTTCACGGTTACTATGTTCATGATTTGTATTTGAGTAGTAACTGAGTTACTAAGTTACTTCTGCCCCTCAAGTGAAGTATTACCTATTTTTTTAATTGTATTTAATATGAATATTCTTACTGAGTTTTCTATTGATGTTAATAAATACTTATCTCCAGTTTATTCATCACTGATCATGATGTACATGACTTAAAGCATGCAATTAAAATTATTTTTCTGCTACAGTAGTAATAACATCTATCCATCCATCCATCATCCAACTTACTGTCCAACACAAAGTTGTGGTGCAACTGGAGTGTCTCGCAGGTAGCAGAGGGCAAAAAGGTACACCAAGACCAGCATGCCCGTCCATTGCAGAGCACATTCACTCACACGCCATTTAGCCTAAATCCATGTCTTTGGACTGTGGAAGGAAATATTTCAAATCCCAGCCTAAGCCCCAATAAACCAATAAATCAGTGATTTCTGCCTGTGTTATAGTCAAAATATTTCCAGTCTTTGTGCTCATAAGTACTGAGCAAATATTATGCACAAATATAATATATTCTGAGCCAGAATAATTAGCAGTTAGAATTCTTAGCATAATAGCATAATCTGATAATATATATTCATAAGCACTCTGCTTGTCCAGGACAGGGGCCCTACATTCAGTTAAAAGTTCATAGTCCTTTTTCTTGTGGTATTTATTTAAAGTTACTGGCAGCTCTTGGTTTCCCAGTCTGCCTGGACCCCCCTCAAATGAGCTTCATTGTGAGCCGTGAATCTCCGCCGCCCCCACCACCCATGGCTCTCTGAGGCACAAACTCGATTTCAGAATTGCGTTTTATCTGACCTTTTCCCCGGCTCCAGAAGAATATGAAGAGGAAGCAGATGGCGACCGAGCTGAGAAATGACAAGAAGCCCATAGTCATGGCAATGACTAAGGTCTTGGCATCGAACGGCAAGCGATTCTGAACTTGAGCAGACGTGCCGTTAGCAAACCTCCAGCCCTCTTCGGAGTAATTGTGGAAGAAGCGATCGCCCAGCACACGCAAGGTGATGAAGACGCTGTCATTCCCAGCAGCGTTGCTTGCAACACATAGAAAAGCACCACCGTCCTGAACCTGAGCAAACTGAACCTCTAGAGTGCCATTAGTCAAAACGCGGATTCTTCCTTTTGATAACAGGGGTGTACGTTTACTGGTCATCCAAAAGATGGAGGGTGGGGGATCACCATCCGCCTTGCAGTGAATAGTCACACTGTTTCCCTCTTTCACTTTAATTTCCTGAGGTCTGAGATCAATAATGCGTGACTTCCTGCAGGTGAAGAAGCGCGTCACCTCAGTGTCACGGAAATCACGCAGCTCTCTCTCCTGGGCTATTCCTGGTGAAGAGCAGGAGGGTTGATGGCCATCAAAATCCAGGTGCTGACGCCAGCGCATGACCCATAACAAACGGCAGTCACATGCCAAAGGATTGCCATCGAGTCTCAGGATCCTCAAATTCCCTGTTGAGTGAAAGACGCCTTCCTCAAGTGTGGAGAGCCGATTTGATGACACATTGAGAAGATTAAAGCGGACTAGTCCTTTAAAGGCTCCTAGCTCAATCTGTAGTAGGTGTCCCCCAGCCAGGTGGAACTCCTGCAGACGAAGCAGGTCACTGAGCAGGTTCCTATGCACTGTGGTTATGGGGTTATATGACAGGTCCAAGTATCTGAGGTAGGCCAGGTGGTGGAGTGCTGTGTACGGGACGACAGTAAGGTTGCATTTGCTGATGGTGAGAGAGGTAAGATTGAGGCCAATCAAGCTGCTACTAGCCAGTGTATCCAGTACTGGCCAGTTGGAGATTTCAAGGCTGCGTAGCCTATTCAGTTGGCGAAAAGAGTTACTGGGCAACATGCTAATGCTGAGTCGGTGAAACCTGAGACGAGTGAGACTCAGGAGTTGGGACAGTGCCTCTGTGGGAATGGAGGTCAAATTACAGCGGCCCACATTGAGGTCCTGGAGGTTTTGGATACCTGCAAAGGCTCGGTGAGAAATGAAGACCAGGTCATTTACCCCTATTTCAAGCACATGCAAGTTGACCAGCTCACGAAACGAGTCATCCAGGAAGACAAGAATCTCATTGTCACTTACATCTAGCAAGTATAGACTGGTTAGTCCAGTGAACACTCCAACAGGGATAATCTTTAGCAGGTTGTGCTTAAGACAAAGGATGCGCAAGTTCTGAAGCCCTTGAAAAGCTTCCACGTCGATCATGGAGATATTGTTATAGCTTAGGTCAAGCTCCAATAACTGAGTAAGATTTGAGAGCTGCCGGGGGCCCAGTATTCTCAGGTTGTTGTGTGACAAGTTCAAGCTCTGAGAATATACAGGGAAGCCACTGGGAATGCTGGTCAGATGCTTATTAGAACAGTTCACTTGCAGCTTTTCTTGGCGGCAGTCACATATCTTAGGACAAGACCATGGAAGTTCAGCTGCAGATGTCCCCAACCCCACCTGGATGAGGATGGTCCACAGCCCCCAACAGAAAATGACTTCCTCTACCATGTTGTCCCAGTCTGCATAGGAAGACAAAGATGCAGAGCTTTGAAATACTGTATAACAAACAGTGTTTGTCAGCTAAACATACAGTCCCCAGGTTAAGAGCGTCCGACTACAACTCGCACTTACAAATGACCTCCCATAAAGCCTATTATATTAAACATTCAGGTTAAATAAAATGGTTCGTAATAGCAAACGGATGCACTACTTTGTGACATGAAAACATTGCATGGCTTCAGTGGTTACTCAGCTGTAAGATAAAGTCCCGAATGTACTTTTAATATTACTGTATAATTATTTCTGTATACTGTGCTATTATTTTTCTGACTTACCTAGAAATTCAACTGAAAGGCAGACTTAGAAACAGATCTTGCTTGTAACCTGGGGACTGCCTCTATTAAGAACAAGCAACATATATTAGAGACCAGAAGGATTTTATGACATATTTTACTCACCAGTTTGATGAGAAATCACAACTTTACATAACCGGCACTGTTCGATTAGGGACTAAGGTTAGTTTTCTCCCCCTTTCATTGTAAATTATCTTCCATGAAGCCTGGAATGAAATTACAGAATATTTAGTATTTCTGGGAATTTTTCACATTGTATTCAGTCAGATCCCTTTTTGGGGGTCATATTATAATACAGAACGGAAACATCCAATCTCAGAGTTGGCTGCTTTTTTTCCTTCGTTGGTTGTTCAATGTAATCAAACGTAGTTTTAAGGTGTGTAAGAGCTGCTGCTTCCATAACTGACATAACTAAAATATTCAGAATTCGAGTTAACAATAAGGTTAACAATGATCTGGAGATAAATGTTTATTAATATCAACAGACCCAGCCTGCTCATTTTGAATCTGTCCATCCTTGACCATTCCCATCAGAATTTAGTTGTTGCTATAAGGGTTCCACAGACACAACAGACCACAATCAAAAAATGTCCTGAAGATCTTATAGAAAAATGCTGTTGATGCCTATTGTTCTGGAAATGGCTACAAGGCCATGTATGAAACACTGAATCCCAGGTGGAGCCACATCCTCATAAACGATAGAGTTTTGGACACCTCCACTGGTATAGAAATGTTAGGAAAGCCAGATTAGCCTCTCTACATCAGATTGGCTCAAGAACCAGATAAGATCCTGGAAGATTTCCCATATTACATAGGGAACTGGGTGTTACATGACTTTCATCGCTCATTAAATGACAAATACACATTTTTTTGACCTAATGACACAAAGAAATCAAAAGATTTCTGGTGGTCCTATTGACCAGAATTTCCATGGGATCAATAAAGTGTTTCTTAGTCTTTTTATATATATATGACAGAAATGTATTACAGCAGGTACCATTGACGTGACAGATTTAGAGATATGGAGATGCTGTACCCTTAAGCTGCATCAACAGTGCGACGTCCAAAAAGAGGAATGTAGAAGGCTTGCAGTATATTATTTATTTATTATTACATTGCCCAAGTCTCAGTTTATCTCAGACACATTTGTACAAGTGTGAGGGCAGGAACAGGGAATGTTGCTTTTCATAAAGCCCATGTCGCTCTGCTTTTAAACATACAAGAGAGAGAAGCTTGGTGTCTGACTGAAGGGTCAGCTGGTGTCCCTGGAGCAATCAGGGGTTCAGGGCCTTTTTCAAGGGTTTAACTGGGGACCTTCTGATCAGAGGCACAAAGTCCTGCCCCTGTAAGCAACACCACCCTCCGAGGAGTTTGACACTTGCTGAATTAGAATCCTACATCATTCCCACTGCACCACTCTGCTACTCATGCTGTTCTTTGTCAGGCTGTTCTCTAAAATCATGGAAATAAATGAATTATACAATAAACATTCAATTATGAATATTCATATCGTTATGGGTCCCTTCCTTCAGCTACTAGAATAAAGGAGCACTGAAACTGCTGGTCATTTTTTTTTTTACCTCCAAATAATTTTGTTAGCTATTGGCAGCAAATTTTTCATGGCGTGGGGGCACAAATAACAATTAAAAGTATTACATGGCCAGCATTTGTTTTTGTTTATAAAATTAGGCATGAGGTTCAACAGAGAAAAAAAAATCAATCGTTATACAATAGTAGCATTCTTCAGTATCATCATTAGTTTTTTGTTAAGATTAGTAAATACTGTATTCCCTGATCATGATCATCAACAACAACATTTTTAAACCAATATAGAACCACAAGATTTATGTTCGGAGAAACCGACGTGCCAAGCAGACTTATTTTTCACATACATCAGACTGATTGAGTGTTCTAGGGTATTCACTCTGGGAATTGGACAATTCTGATGATTGCCACACAGAACTCATCTCACTAGGGGCCCAGCATTAATCACTGCCTGTAGTGGCAGTTTACTACAGCAGATTAGCTTTTCATAACATGGCGTGGGTAAACAGAGGAGAGTGACAGTGCCGGTCATTATGGATGAATGAAACAGAGTCAATTTAACGAAGAAACCTGACTCCTTCCAAACCAACTCAACAAATATAGGCTAATATACTGGTAAAACACAAATGATTCAGAGTATTTCTTTTATTTACCATTATATAACATTCTAACAGTGAAACAGACTGGTAAGTTAAAGATATCAAAACAATATATGGTAACACTTCACTTAAAACAGTCATCATAATGCATTATAAATACCTTCATGACGCATAGCAATGGTCAGTATAAGAATTAAGGATGCTTTGTACTGCATTATGAAGGTATTTATAGTGCATTACAGATGACAGCATCATAGAGCATTTATAATGCATAATAAACATCACTATAATGTGTTATGCTTTTTTATAACTGTTTATAATACTTTTTGAATGCAATATAATGCATTATGAAGGTATCTATAATGCATTATATGACTGCTTTAAGTAAAGTGTTAACTAATAGATTGTTATTCTTGTATTACTAAACTGAAAAATTAAAAAGCAAGCCCATAAAATCTGCTTCAGTTATCACTAAACTGAGCAGTACACTTACAGCAAGCACTACTTTAATCAAGCAGCAGATTCTCACATTTCAACCTTTACTGCAGCAACTTCAGAGAGAGAATTAAAAACCATTTCAAAGGGATGCCGTTTTGCATTAAAACTTGAAATAACAACAGCCATACCATTCTGCACTGCTGATTTATAATCCACTCAATCCACAGTTGTCTTTGAGATATTTGGAACTGACTGTGCTATTAAAGCTTGTTGTTTACTTTGTATGCCAGTCCAAACTGATCCTACATCAATTGAAAGTGTTAATCCCAAGACAGTGACAGACAGTAACAACTGCACAAAGTGGAACTTAATTGCTTTCAGTGGACACAGTGCAATCTTACAAAATTCCAAAGTACTGGAATTAATATCCCCATAGACAATAAACATAAACACTTTTGCAAAGTAAAACAGAGATATTACTCATACATGTCATAAAAATTGCGAGATGTACACCAGTTGAAATCCAGTCCATTTCTCTGCATTCATATAATTGAGTGAACGGCCCCTTTTGACTCCTGTCTTCAAAGCCTATATCAATGGTTTGGTGTCTTACGGGCATGTTTTATGATGCCAATCTAATCCATCCCATAATACCTAAGCATATCCATCCACTTTATGGCCAGCCAGGAGCTTAAACAGTAAGACGCCAAACACCATCAATATCCCAGCCTCAGCTAAGGCTACATTAATTACTTAACCTTTTTTACAGTCAGGTACTTACTTAAATTAAATCTGCCAAAAAATGCCCTCTTTTCATTTGACATTGAATTACAAACAATCTTTGTTGGATAAATCACAGTCACAGGAAGTGCACACAATGTCTTACGCATACACAATATGGTTGCTCGTATTATACTTTGTCACCTAATTTTATGGGTTTATGATAAGTTTCAGGCATCATTTTCATTTAATGCAAAGTATTTTTCAATTGCATGTTTCTGTATTCAGCTTCTTGTTTCTTTGTCGCCAGAGGAAATTATGTGGACCATTCTATTGCAGCCTAGATGCACATTTAATAGGCCATCTTGGAAGTTATATGAGCCATATCAAGGTCCATAACATGCTGAGTGCTCTGACCACTATGACCATTGTCATCAGTATTGTTCAGTCTAATAGTCAATCGATGATCTTTAATATTGGCTTGATATCCAAAACAATGAAAATTACTTGCGCACTCTGCCTCTAAATTCTTCACTCTAGAGGTATCTCAACAGAATGGTACCCTGTAGAAATGTATTGACACTAGATGTGTTTTCATGATGAGGGCAATTGCTGCTGGTCTGATTTCCCTGTAAGCCTGACAGTCTGCCATTATGTGGTGTTGGATTACTGTTGACTAAATTACATTGTCTACAAGTACCAAGGTACTACAGGCATCACCTGCTGTTCTACTGACAGAATGAGCAGATTTTGCTGTTTGTTTGTTCCTTTACAGCAGAATGCACACCAAAGAATGTCCATGCAAGTCTAATTTGTGTGATAGTACTGTAGTATGCAGGACCCATTTTTCCCAACCACCCTTATCTTACACACATGCTGTAAATATAGTTGGAAAACTTTTAAAATGTCCATAATCAATCCATCCAGAGCTCAGTTTAGTGCTTTCTAAATTGCCTCTTTATTGACCTCTACAATATATTTGCGGAGCCCCCACAATATTCTCTCCTGGTTAATATTACTGGGGTTTAAGCATAACGTATATCATTACTCTTAGCAAATGCAGTCAGGCAAGAGGACTTTGCAATGCAGATCTTCTGCTCATATTAGCTGAGTTTAGGCACAATAACCCCCTTTGAATTCATTTTCTTTGCCTTCCTAGAACCAAGAACATAGTCTGCCTGCTAGACACAGACAAAAATCGGTCACTGCATACCATGCTATTATTAGTTATTGGCAGGTGGAAACTGAGCCCTCATTATCCCCAATTAAAATTTCCAAAAGCAACAAGGGCCAGTGGGCTTATGTGGAGGACAGCCATGTTACTCCTCGCATTCCTCTCAAATTCCACACCTCTGTAAACACATCACTGGGTTGGAGGCTCAGTTTGAAAGTCTTAAAAGCGGAACAGCTGATAAGGTGTACGTGGGGGCAGTTTTGGTGTTTTTACCTCTTCCTTTGCCAAGGAGACAAATCCGAATAAGCGTTAACACAAATATGACATCACTGTACAGATAACACACAGTTTCTGCAGACATTCCGCAAAGCTTAATAATGTTGTTTTGATGAGAGCACTGTGTTTAATTTAACTGTCTGCACTGGCAGATTCAGCGGGGCTACAGTGCAGGGCCAGCACTGGGTGTTCTGGCGCCCTGGGCATGATTCTTCTGAGCACTGCCAACCCCAGAGCAGCAGAAAATGAAGTTTGGTAATTAATTTATATTAAAAACATTTGAGTAACTTAGGGCACCTGACTATTAATTAGCTAGCTTGAGTTTGTTTCACAAGAAGATTAAAAAAAATATTAAAAGTACCGTAAATAACTGTAACGTCATGGAATGCAACCAGAGGTATTTCTCCTGATTTTTTTCACTCACCATTTTGCGCCTCCTAATCAAACGGCACCCTAGGGCAGTGTTTCTTAAACCAGCCCTCAGGGACCCCCAGCTCCCATAAGGCAGTCATAAGGCAGCAAAAATGTGTAGTCTTGCGGTCCCCGAGAACTGGTTTGAGAAACACTGCCTTAGGCGACTGCCTATGTCAGCTTTGTGGGGGGGGGGCTGTTACAGTGGGTGCAATTCGAATAATCAGAAGAAAATGCCACTTGAACAAGTCCAATAAAATGAAATTATACTGTAAAGTCATTTTTGAAAACAAAGCTTGCACCAGTCATGTCAATGTGCAATAATTTATTGCAAATGTATTTCATATATATTGTTTTCACCGATTTAATTATCTGCGTGAATGACTAGTTGGGCTCTCTCATCTTGCACCCTCTGGGAGAAAAGCACAGAGTGTCTGAAAGTGAACAGTGAAGTCTTCCATGCATTCTCTATTGGTGTCAAAGAGTGTATATGTGTGCATTTCATCAGAGCAATTGACCAGCTTAAAGTGAGCATGCATGCTTCTGTCATGCTTCATGTAGACCTGAGGTGTGCCGGTATGTGTGTGCATGTGCACATTTGCAAGTGTGGATTTCCCTCTTTGCCTCACAAATGGCAGCAGAAAATAGGTCACTGTCACAGCACAGTCAAATCAATAGCCTCGCCGAATGAGTGTTCTGCTAAAAACAATATTATATTATCCTCAGTTTTAGTGACCTAATTTATTTTATCCACACTGCGTGTATATGCAAAAAAAAAAAAGACCTTAACAGGATAAGGTACACACACCGTCACACTGACTAAGCTGACGCTAGGAGCACCTTAAGCAATACTAACCTGCCTTCACTGTCACGGCAATGACACTTTCCATTCTGTCCTCTGTTATTTTCCCAAACCTAATAGCTGTTTTCTCACTCTCCTTATAATGACTTCTTATCCCACGAAAATCCAACCAGAGATAGTAACACAATACGAACCGCCAGACAAAACAACTGTGTTGCAGTTAAAATGACATATACACTAAATTTCAGGCCTTCTCCTTTATTTTTTAACTTCACCTGATTTTGCTGCTGCTGTAGAAAGATTCCAGTCTGGCCTCTGTTTCTGACCTGGTTCAGACATACAGGTCTATTATTAGAAGTAATGTATTTTTATCAAAAAAGGTTAAAGACACTGGATATTGCAGTCTATTAACGGGTATTCCTAAATGGATTCAGTTAGGGCCGGTAAGATTGTGTTTGAAAAAGAGGCACCAAAGGCAATGAATTCCAGTCTGACACACAAACTGGATTGAGACATACAGACCTACAGGAAGTAACACCACAATCTGAAAACCCCAGCCATCTTATTCTAAGACATTGGTGTGCTGGGCACAGTGATGCAAGGGATGTGGACCAACATCGTGAACTGTATATGCCCTCACTGGTGCCTTAGCCGACCCTGTTGGTGGGAGCGAGCAGACTGGAGTGTTACACCAGACCTTTTGCTCTCAGCCTAGTGGGACCCTGGACGTCCCCTTTGTACTATAAAAGTCATTAACCAGACTGCCTGAACCTCAACACGGCGCCGCAGCGCACATCCAGTTCTTTGACTCACAACAAGCACCAGGGGAGACGATGTCCTTCCGTGCCTCTTCAGCACAACCTCGAATAGCCTGCCTTGTTCTTAGCCAGGGTTTTAAAAATAGCAAGCAGAGGACGAGGACACAAGCGAAGCATAATGACCCCTTATGATATGTCTCTGATTAATTTGAATATCTGGACCCGGAGTGATACTTATCCATTACGTATTCACACCGTCAACATGGCACATTTATTCATATTTACAAGCGGATGAAAACATGCTAGATAAGAAATACTTATCTAGAAACGCCCCTCACTTCAATTAGTGTATTTGATCCGAATTATGACTGTGTCGCATAGGGAAGCGACTGTTCGACTGCGCGACTGACCCCGCAGTTTCCGAATGGATAGCATGATTGGGCAATTGGCACAGTGTTACACAGCGAATAGTTGTTTAAGCAGTACAACAACCAGATTTCTCTAAGTCGTTTTTTTTTTCTTTTTACCTGAAAACACCACCCAGTTCAGCTATCTG